TCTTTTCTAGTTCTGTGAAAAATATCATTGGTATTTTAATGGGGGTTGCATGGAATCTGAATATTACTTTTGGTAGCATGGCTGTTTTGACAATATTATGAACATGGGAGGTCTTTCCATTTTCTAAGGTCTTCTTCGATTTTTTCTTCAGTGTTCTATAATTTTCATTGTAGATCTTGCACCTCCTTGATTAGATTAATGGCCAACCTTTTTTTTGTTGTTGTTGTTATTCTGAATAGGATGGCTTTCCTGATTTCTTTCTCAGCAAAATCACTGTTGGAGTATAGGAAAGCTACTGATTTATGAATGTTGATCTTGCCTGATATTTTGCTAAATGCATCTATCAGTTCCAGATGTCTTCTGGTAAGGTTTTGGGGTCTTCTAGGCATAGAATCATGTCATCAGGAGATAGAGATAATTTGACTTCTTCTTTTTCTGTTTTTATCCCTTTGATTTCCTCCTCTTGCCTGGTTGCTCCGGCTAAAGTTCCGAGAACCATATTGAATAGAAGTGGAGAGAGTGGACATCCTTCTCTCATTTCTGATCATAGAGGAAATGCTTTCAGTTTTTCTCCCTTCAGTGTGACGTTGGTTTGGGGTTTGTCGTATTCAGCCTTTATAATGTAGAGGTAAGTTCCTTCCAGCCCTAGTTTCTCCCGTGTTTTTAACATGAACGGGTGCTGGATTTTATCAAAGGTCTTTTYTGCAACTATTGAGATGCTCATCTGATCCTGGGTCATTATTCCATTTACTGATGAACTATATTTATTGATTCATTTACGTTGAATCAACCTTGCATCCCTGGGGTGAAACTCACTTGATCGTGATATAATACCTTTTTGAAGTGTTTTTGAATACAGTTTGCTAACATTTCATTAAGGATTTTTGCATTTATGTTTGTCAGGGATATCGATCTATAGTTTTCTTTCCYGGATGTGTCTTTGTCTGGTTTGGGTATCAGGATTATACAGGCTTTAAAGAATGTAYTTGGAAGTGTTTTCTCCCTTTCAATTTCATGGAATAGTTTGAGAAAGACTGGTGTTAGTTCTTCTTTAAAGGTCTGGTGCAATTCAGCTGAGAATCCATCTGGTCTTGGGCTTTTCTTTGTTGGAAGACTTTTAAGTGCTGTTTCAATTTCATTTGACTTGACATTGGTCTGTTGAGGTTTTCTACATCTTCCTGGTTTGATTTGGGCAGGTCATATGTGTGTAGAAATTTGTCAACGTGAGACTCAGTTTTCTTATCTACAAAATGACCGTAGTCTCACCTTCAGGATTCTGGAGAGGAATAATAAGCCAATGCAGCCCAGGCCTGGACACTGGTCAGTGTCCCCTTCCTAGCTATAGCTATTATTCTGGGGAAGCCAAACTGCCAGTAAAGGGGTTCATAACCTTAGGTCAGTGCTTCCACCCTCCTGGAAATTGAAGCTAAATCTTGAGAATACGTTAATTTCACTCCAGGGGAGTTTCCTTCAATCCCAGAGGGCTCACGCCCCACTGAGCTAAGAATCCACCTCTCTGGGGCTGGCAGCCTTGGGAAGGGATGGAAAGCAGGAAGGGCACCCGAGTTCCTGCATGTGCTGGTCCTTCACCCTGTCCAGGGCTCTCCTGCTCTGGTTCTGCCCAGCCTGGGCACAAAAGGAGGGTCCCACAGACCCACTAGCAGGGAAGACATGAGGACTCTGTCCCTAGATGTGCTGTGCCAATTAAGATTCCTCTAACTGGGAAGCACTGGGAGAAAGCGGGARCTCTGTGGGCACTGTCCTCTCTGTTGGTGGCCCAGGTACCTGCACACCCAAGTCTCCCCCAGCCTGGTTGGTCCCCAGGGTTGAGGGCTGCTCAGTCACTAAAGGTGCTCCACAGCCCTCTGGTGGCCAGAACCGGTATGACAGGGGCGTGACCAGGGCAAGCTTCCTGGTGCTGCCCTAGACGTCCAGGCCACAGGTGAAAATGAGGTTCAGAAAGGCCAGGGCAGCTAGTCAGAGGCAGAGCCCCCACCTCACTCCCAGCAACCTCTGCGCCCTCCTCCCAGCACTCAGTGCCCGTTTCTTGCTGTCCCCGCAGGAGGGGACCCTCCCGAGGACCAGGCCAGGCTGTCCCTCCCCCGCTGCAGACCCGTGGCAGGCACTGGCCGCATGAAGGTCTTAACCACTGATTGGCTGAGAACCCACCTGCGCCAGGCAYTCTTCTGGCACCTCATTTCATTCTCATGGTGGCCTGTGAAGGCTGTCCCCTT